ATCGAGTCGCCAGCAACTCACAGTGACCCTATGTACAACAGTCCTACACTCTGCTCTATCCTGTGCCACTCTTATTGTCTCCAACACACCTATCCCTATTACCCCAGTCACTGTTTTAATCCATCTCATCGAGGGTCTTCCTCTCCTGTGCTGTCCCTCCACCCTCCCAAGCATGACATCCCTCTCCAAGGACTGATGCCACCTCGCAACATGTCCAAACTATGTCACACGAAGCTTCAGAATCTTTGCCTTCATGGAGCAGCCTGGTTTCAAGAAAAAAATGTCTTTGGGGAGAATAATGAATAGAGTTAACTTCTGGCAGAAATAGAGACCAAGAAGTTCTGTTCGAGATGACAGTTAGGTTAGCAATGACTTACCAAGAGTCTGTTCATTGAGATGACAGATGGAGGCCATGTCCTGGGGAGAGTGAAGCCTGTTTGCTCCTTGAAGGCAAGGATTTTGAAACTCCATCTCACGTACTTTGGGCATTTTTCCAGGAGGGACCAGTTCTTGGAGAGGGACATCACGCTTGGAAATGTGGAGGGACAGCACAGAACAAGCACCTGGAAGTGATGGATTGACTATGACAGTGAGGACAGGTGCATCAGAGACGATGAGATTGGCTTAGGTTGGCAGGGTTTACAGCTATTGTTCATAAGGTCACTATGAGTCACAGTCAACTTGATGGCACATAACAACTGCAGTGTTGTGGGTAAAAAGTTGAGCTGCCAACCCAAAGATAGGCAGTTCGAATCCAGCACCTACTCGCGACAGAGAAAGATGGGCAGTCTCCCCCCAGGTAATTTTTACCGCTTCTTTAAACCTACTGGAGAGTCAGCTTTGAGTGATTTCTGATTTAAGGGCACATAGTAACAATGACAATAAAATAATGAAAGTTAGATGGTGATTTTGAAGTTTGAAATTTTGGAGAGAACTAGCTTTGAACAATGACAAGATGTAAGACATGGTGATCATGGCAGTGATGCTCACAGAATGGACAGATGAAGGTGGCTGAAACTGGTGAGCTCCAGATCTCCATGGCTACATGGAGTGGAGGTGTCTAGACCAGTGGACAGTCAAGCTGCTACTAACTGCCTCTAACTCCTGGTCACTCTGGGCATAGAATTGTATTACATGCTATTTCTTTCTTTTTTCTTTTGTTGTGGTGAGAAAAGTTTGTATTTAGAATTAGCCAGCTGAACTCCGTTTAGATGATCTCAATTTTGTTGACAATATTGGAAGCAAGTCGATCATAGCCTTCTTCTCTCCATCAGGCTTAATCAAAGAGTTGACCTTGGCCACATCAGTGTCACAGAGCTTCTTTATAGCTTGTTGGATTTGGTGTTTGTTGGCCTTGACGTCCACAGTGAACACACGTGTGTTGTTATCTTCTGTTTTGCTATGGCTGACTCAGTGTTCAGGGGAAACTTGATGGTGGCATGGTGGTTCAGCTTGTTTCTTCTGGGGGTGCTCTTCCAGGGGTATTTGGGCTGCCTTTGGAGTCTCAGCGTCTTAGGCTGCCAGAAGGTGGGTGGGTTATGTGTGGATCTTTTTTTGGGGGTGAGGGCTGTCTTCTTGGCTTTTAACGCCTTTGCTTTGGCTTCAGTTTTGGGAGGGGCAGGGGCTTCCTTCTTTCCCTTTCGGGACTGTCTTCATAGAAAGGATCTACATGGCATTTCTATGGCTCATTTTTCAGGTGCAGATCACCAGGCCTTTATTCTGAGGTGCCTCTGGATGGACTCAAACCTCCCACCTTTCAGTTAGAAGTCGACTGCATTAACGCTTTATACAGAGTGTGGAAACTATAGAACAATATCATTGATTTCACATGCAAGCAAGATTCTGCTGAAGATTATCTAAAAACGACTGGAACAGCACATCAGCAGAGAACTGCCGGAAGTCCAGGTTGGGTTTAGAAGAGGTCGTGGTACTAGGGATATTGTAGCTAATGTTAGATGGATATTGGCTGAAAGCAGGGAGTACCAGAGGAATGTATATTTGTGTTTCATTGATTATGCAAAGGCGTTTGGCTGCGTGGATCATAACAAACTGTGGCTGACTCTGAGAAGAATGGGAATCCCAGAACACTTGATCGTGCTAATGCGAAACTTGAACCAAGAGGCAGTCATCAGAACAGAGCAAGGAAACACTGCATGGTTCAAAATTGGGAAGGGTGTATGCCAGGGATGTGTCCTGGCTCCATACCTTTTCAACCTGTATGCAGAACAGATCATCCGGGAGGCTGGGCTCTATGAGGAGAAATGTGGCATCAGGATTGGTGGAAGATCTATAAACAATCTGCGTTATGCAGATGACACAACCCTGCTTGCTGAAACTGAGGAGGACCTGAGGCGCTTGCTGCTGAGAGTCAGGGACTGTAGCCTTCAGTATGGATTGAGGCTCAATGTCAAGAAGACAAAGATTCACACCACAGGACCAATTGGCAGCATCAGGATGGATGGTGAAGAGATTGAGATTGTTCACAGCTTTACTCTACTTGGCTCCACAATCAACACTCTTGGCACCAGCAGCCAGGACATTAAAAGATGTATTGTGATGGCAAAGTCTGCTGTTAGGGACCTCTCTAAAGTACTCAAGAACAACGGTGTGTCTCTGGAGACTAAGGTTCGTCTGGTATAGCCATGGTCTTTGCAATCACTTGTTATGCGGCAGAGAGCTGGACAATGACCAGGAAGGAGAGAAAGAGAATTGACGCTTTTGAGCTTTGGTGTTGGAGAAGAGTGCTGAGGGAGCCATGGACTCCTAAGAAAACAAACAGATTCATCCTAGAGAGGGTTAAACTGGCCTGCTCCTTGGAGGCAAGGATTCTGAGATACTGACATACTTTGGTCATGTTGTAAGGAGGGATCGGTCCTTGGAGAGGGACATCATGCTTGGGAGGGTAGAGGGCAGGCACAGAAGGGGAAGGCACTCTGGGAAGTGGATTGATTCGGTGACTGGGGCAATCAGGATGAGTGTGTCGGAGACAGTGAGATTGGCATAGGACAGAGCAGAGTTTAGAGCTGTTGTACATAGGGTCGCTGTGAGTCTTTAATTCAGTGAACTCATGGGGTAGTTTACAGAGGACTAGGGTAGCTGTTGTGGTTGTTGGGTGCCATCTAGTTGACTAGGACCCATAGTCACCTTGTGAACTACACGTCTGAACCTTGCCCTGTCTGTCATGATCTTCCTCATCTTTGATAGGCTGGAGCCTATTGCTACAGTGACTGTCAATCCATCTCATTGGGAGTCTTCCTCTGACACTCCACCTTTTCTAGCATGATTTCTGTCTCCAAGGACTGGCTCCTGATTATTTACCCCAAGTAAATGAGATGAAGTAGGGTGGTGGCAGGTAGGGAAGACTGCGTGAGACTTGGTGCTGCTACTAACATGGTTTTAGTTAATTCAACACTACCCCTATCTCCACTTCTTGCTTTTATAAAACAGTGATAGCCATGTTCCCTCCAATGTGTGTAAGTAAGAGCACTTTGCAAAGTGGAAGGAGTTGAAGAGCTATTTCAAAACTTAAGTTGCATCAGATCTTAGGATCAAAATGAGCAGATTGTTAATAATTTGTAAGCACAGAACATCTCTTTGGCAGAAAGCCTGAGATGGTAAGACCTGCTACAACTAAAAATGATCCTTTTAAACTTAACTCATTGCCATCAAGTCAGAACCAACCCATGACTGACCTTCTCGTGGGTTTTTGGAGGCTGTAAGGCCCACAGGAAGAAATTGTCCATTCTCTTTCTTGGAGCAGTTGGTGGATTTGAACTGCCTTCTTTACGCTGGCAGCACAGCTCATTACACTAGGCCACCAGAGCTCCCCCTATAAAGGGTTTTAAGTCTGAGTAAAAATGCTCCATGGGGGTCGCTGAGACTATAAATATGGAAACAAATGGCCTTATGTTTCTTCCATATTTTGAGCTTCAGACCTTTGAATTGGCAGCCCAATACTTAACACAGATTATGTACTCAATCCATGTGTGATGTTTATTTTTTCATTGTCCTAGGGATTGGTAAATTTTTTCTATATAAGGACAAGGTAGTAAATTCATTATGATTCACAAGTCAGAGAGTCTGTTGGCAGCTGTTCAGCTTTGCTGTGGAGGTGTAAAAGCAGCCGTATTTTACGTAGACCACAGTGTATGGCTGACTTCCAATAAAATGTTATTTACAAAGCCAGAGGGCTGAATATGGTCCATGAGCCGTGGTTTAGCTGTCCTACAGGATAATTTTACATTATGTCTGCCTGAACTGAAGGAATGTTGCCTAACTGTGGAGGAGTAAGCCTCATTTGCTCTGCTGTTGTTGTTAGGTGTCATTGGGTCAAGGACAGAGCTGAACCCTTGTCCTGTGCCATGCTCATCCTCTCTGACACACTTGAGCCCACTGCTGCAGTCACTGTGTCAGTCCATCTCATTGAGGTTTTCCTCGTTTTCTCTGGCCCTCCACCTTTCCCTGTATGTTGGCCCTGTATGTATAACCGGCCTCTCTTGACAACATCTCAAAGTATGTGGGATGAAGTTTCACTATCCTTGTCTGTAAGGAGCACTGTGACTGTATTCTTTAAGACAGATTTATTCTTTTCACAGTGCATGGGATATTCAGTACTTTTGCCAGCCAGAACCTTGGGTAATACAAAGGGTTTGTACTTCTAACCTAAAAGGTTATGGTTTGAATTTGCCAAGAAAACCTTGTGGAGGAGGTCTGTCTTGTAACCCAGGAGGCATTGACGTGATAACGACAGGCTTGGTTTTTAAGGATCTAGGCTAATTTTTAGGAGCCCTAGTGGCGCAGTTGTTAAAGCACTGTGCTGCTAAGCAAAAGATTTGTGGTTCAAACACACCAGGGACTTCTCAGGACAAAGACATGGCAATCTGTAAAGATGTACAGGCTAGGGAACCTTAAAAGCCAATTCTACACTGTCCTATAGGGTCACTGTGTGTTGGAATCCACGCTAAAATTTGAGTTTTCTTGGTTCTGGGTGTACCAAACCACAGATGTACCATTTATATAAGTGACACACTGATTGTCTCTTAAACTACATATTGACTCCTTATGAACATTTTTTTTAAATAGAGTGGTGCGTCTGGACAATCAGTCGGACAATTCACACAGCCCTGAAAAGTTTTTCAGTGCCAACTACCAGTTGGTCATGAAACATGAATGAGCTTGAGACACTGTCCATTCCTAAAATTCAACCAAGGATTGGCTAAAACATTGGAATACCTGTTTAAGAAGGCTCTGGATGACCTTCCCGCCCATAGTAGCTTGATTTGATTTTATTTTTGGTGGTGTCTGGTTGTACCTGGCTAGAACATTTTTTTTTTTAAATCACTTTGGAAATTAGGAAAACCAATGATCTAAAACTAGGACAGGGTCTTAAATAGATTGGTTTGTCCATTTCAGGTTGCTGGTTGGCAGGCTCCTCTAAGACCCTTCATTTTCTTTCTCTGCCTCCCGGAACTTTGATCAGAAGAGGAGTCTGAGCATCATCCCCTCTAACTTTTTAACCAATGGCTGGCTAAAACGGGAATGTCCAGCCCAGTATTTTTTTTTCTTTTAAATCACCCGCAAAAAGAGGTTCTACACATCTTCACAAAACCTGGAATTTCCACGAGGATGTCTGATCTTTATAATCCAAGCAGTCAGCATTCAAGTTAAGCTTCCAGGAGGCAGTTTGGTCCTTATAATGCAAGCAATCAGTGGTCGAGTTAAAACCCAGGCTTGAGGCTCCATATCCCTGGGTGGAAAGAGAAGCTGGGGACTGGTTGAGGTGGCTGGTGACTGCATTGGTACCCATGGAGCTGAATGTGGCCCCTGGTCCAGGAAGCTGGTGATACATAGGGGTCAAGTAAGATCCACAGTCCATGCCCCCAAAGTAGGAAGTTGAGCCAGCATATCCTTGACTATAAGCTGAAGCCTGAGTATAGGTCATGGGATAGGACCTCTGCATGCAGGAAGCGGAGGTGGACAAGGGATCTGACAGTGGGGAGATGGAAGCTGGACTCCAGATAGACACTGGAGCACTGCTGCTGGAAATGGCCGGGACTGAGGTGCTAGAGGGGAGAGTGAACTGGCCACTTGTTCCACTCTCTGAATTCACTTCCCAAGCCGGTGATATCTTCTTTTTGGCAGGTTTCACTTTGCTTTGACCTCCATTCTGTTGCTGCTGCTGCTGCTGTTGGCGGCATTTAGCTCTTTGATTCTTAAACCATACCTGCACCCTGGACTTGGGCAAGTTGATTTTCAGGGCCACCTCCTCCCGCACGAAGAAAGAAGCCTGGGTGCCGCGTCTTGGCAAACAGTGCTTCCAGCACGTCAAGCTGTGCCCGGGTGAATGTCATCCTTTCTCGGCGCTGTTTCCGAGGGGTGGCTGCGGGACAAGAAACCCAGGGCCCAGGGTAGCCCACCGAGGGGGGCAGCAAGTCCATCCATGCCCGAGGTGGTCAGACTCAGCCCACTGACTGCGTAAGGCGGTAGCTTAAGATAAGACATCACGCTAAGGTTGTTGGAGGCGCAAAATCTGCCCAAATTGGGGAAGCCGGAAGGTCTCGTTGAGCCTGGAGTGGACAGATTCAGGGTCCTTGGCGGGTGGGTTTAGGGTGGTGGAACTTACAGCCACATAGGAGCTCAGGGAAAACAAAACCCCAAATCATCCTTCAAAATGCAAAGCAGAAGCGCCAAGGGCCGCTCCGGCGATTTTTATTTTTCGAGAATCCTCATCTTAACTGTTCGTCCCAAGCACCAAGTTTACAAAATCCCATTCTGGTTTCTGGAGGCATTACAATGAGTATTGCTCCTGACAACAAGGGCAGGTAGCACCTCCTCTCTGTTGGTGTGGAGATTACCAATATCTGATGCTGAAACCGTTCCATTTAAGCCTAATGGGAGGATGACACAAGTCAATCGACTTGTGGACAGACTAACATGCCCTATGTGTGTGATCCCATCCACCTCATGTCAAAGTCGGTCAATGGCTAGGAAAGCTATTTTGAACAGACACTGGATGCCACAGCTTCAAGAAGAGTCCTGTCTACATGGAGTTGTGGACTTGGGTTACTCAGGTCACTATTGGAGTTCCCTGTGCTAGGTCAGCCTCACTGTAGGTCTTAGACCCTGTCTACCCTAAACTGAGGTCTCTCCTAAACTCTCCCCACCAAAGGAGGATTTCCTTACGTTTAAGCCTCATTCGCCCAAGGTTGTCTCTCAATGACTGTTTATTTGATAAACACGATTTTTGAGTAGAACCTAATTCTGACAGTTTTAACTATTGCTCATAAAGTAGGAAGGATCTAAAACTAATTCAAATCTCAAAACTATTCCTGGGCTGTGGCTCCACAGTTCTAAGTAGAAGCCATTGTGTACATATTCTGAAAATGTTGCCTGGCACGAGATGCCTAGCTAAGGCATCACACACTTGTTAAGAAAAATGCTTTAAAATGCCCATATACTCGACTTTGCTACCAGCCTGTTGGCTACCTGGGAGCTACCAGACTTCAGTCCTTGCTTCAAAATGGCACCCAGCTTTAGCACTTGGTTTTGGGCACACAACTTTTCCAGAGGGAAAGTTTACACCCAGGAAGGGCCACCCTAGTACATTCTGTGTAATTGCACACCAACTAATTAGATGTCTCCAGGTTGTGAACTCAAGAGGCCTTGATTACTATCCCATCGTGCCAAAAGAACAGATAGGTCTTGGAGAAGGAATATCCAGAAAGCTAGAGGTAAAGATGATAAAGCTTCATCTCCCCTAATCTGGGCACATTGTTAAGAGAGAGGTAATTCCCTGGAGAGGTATGGCATGCTCAGAGAAGGGTAGGTGAAAAGGAGGAAACCCTAAACCAGGCAGAATGACAGACTGCAGCCGTGGGCTCAGGTGTCAGATGAGGATGGCAGAGAATATACGAGGGTTCAGATTTGGTGTTCATAGGGCTACTATGGGTCTAATTTGACTTGATAGCATTTAATAATTCACAAAAACTACCCTATCATCACTGTATTCTTCTTAGAAACACATTGTAGAAATTGAGTTACATATCATTCTGT